GTGTGTTAGGGGGAGAGCTGGTCATCTGTGCTTGTTGAGACACCTGTGGCACGTAAGCAGTACGAGAGTGTCTGCTGTTCAAAGGCTGACTCTGGTGGCTGCTGACCAGCTCCTCCAGTCCAGGGACCTGCTGTCTGGGGCAAATATCACAGCAGGAGGGGCTGTGCAGGGGGCACCCTGTGCCTGTCCTGTTGAGACACCTGTGGCATGTAAGCAGTACAAGAGTGTCTGCTGTTCAAAGGCTGGCTCTGATGGCTCCTGACCAGCTCCTCCAGTCCAGGGACCTTCTGTCTGGGGCAAATATCGCAGCAGAAGGGGCTGTGCAGGGGGCACCCTGTGCCTGTCCCCACCTGCCATGGCAGGGCTCTACTTGTTGCTCCTGATGTGAACCACTTCCTGGTGCTTGTTCCTGGAGGAACAGGGTATGTGGCTGCCAGCTGTGTGGAAACTCTGGTATGCAGGTCACATGTCAGACAAACTGGCCATCACTTCCCTAAGGTTGAGCAGACAGTGCCACTGAGCTCTGTGTTGTGCTGGCCCTTGGAGGAGGTTGTCCTCATTGTCTCTCCAGCTGAATTTCAGTGCACATGGGAGTAAGAGTAAAGCAGGAAATACAGGAGATAGTTCAGTTTTGTGAGAACCAGACTGGCTCATTGACATCACAGTCTCCAAAGTTATTAATTACCAACCAATTTGCTGGATGAGAATTGTTAGGTTTTGCAACTATTGCTGCTTCAATAATAAGCTGTTTCAGTCATCAACATTTAGAAACCACAAAACCCAAACATCCCTAAAACTGAAAGTTACATTATTCTTTGCCTTAAATGTACTAATGTGAAATAAATCTTGTGTGTTTTTAACTTTGAACTCTGATGTGCAGTTTGCCTTTGCTTTGAAGGATCCTTTGGTGGTAAACCTCTCCAGCCCAGGACCCTTGACTTCAGCAATGTTCTTGTTCCTTCACAGCATGAGGGAGGCTGGAAAAGGGCCTCTTTCTCCCAAAGTGCTGTTCAGCCAGCTTTGTCAAAAGTAGGTATTGTCAGTATTTTTTATGTATTTATTTATTTTTAATTTCCAGTTACATGTTTGTAAGTGTGCCTTGTCTGTTGTCCTTTCTAAGGTGCCAGTAGATTTTTACTGGGCAGTCCAGAAAATATCTTTTTCATGTTTTAAAGTTGCAGAGTAACTTGTTGTGCTGCAGGGTTGTACCTGCTCTTTGTGAAATCTGTGGCCATAACCACTAACTTTCGAGGGTCTTTGAACTGAGTATGAGGGAGCAGAAGGTGTCATGGTAAAACTGAAGAGAATAGAATTACCTTTCAGGTTTTGTTGCATACTAGCATAAAGCTGGGTTAATACTGCAAAGTGTATGGAGGTATTCTGGAAAAAAAGGATAGGCTTTTAAATGGGAAACCTCTGCTATGATGTCTGACCTTGGCATCAAGTCAAAATTAAAAAGGGTCTAACAAGTCAAGACTTGAAGCAGTAATACTGAAATGGCATATGGCTCCAGATTGCAAAGAGTTTATAAGCCCTAAGGAAACTCTCGTTTCTTGGGGTGGAAAATGTTTACAGTGGTGCTTTGTAGGTACCTTCAATTATAATGTAAACAATCCTGCTTTTTAAAACACCTGTGGAGGACCGATTTGAAAGTTGGTAGAAATGTTTAAATATTGAACTTACAAGTAAAAAAAAGCTGTAGAAGCAGAGTAATTGGAAGTTGATATAACTGAACCTCACATTAAAAAATATTAACAGCACACGTTAATTTATTTGCTAAGGTATTATTTTTTTTGAATTTTAAGCATTCTGCAGTAAGAGTGTTAGGAGAAAAGTGGCAGCCTCCTACCATGGTATTCCAGGGCAACCTCACTGTGTAAACATGGGTTTAAAATATGGTATAAAGAAACAAAAGCTTTTAGACTAGAATAGGGACAATTTAATTGTGATATAGAAATCAGTTATTACTTCATCCTCAAAATTCAACTTCAGAACCATAATATTCTGTTTTTTATATTCTTCTTGACTTTTTTTGATTCTTTTGAGCTGCAAAAGGAAATGTATGTAACGTGTTTTTAGAGTGATTTTGAGTAAAATTGTGCTGTTCTCTGTTAAGCATTATTTACCTTGGATAAAAATATATAGGGAAGAAAATCAGGTTGTTTCCTCCTCCTGTTTTGGGGCTGACTCAAAAATGTGGTTCTAAGGACAAAATTTGGTTGAGAAATGGAAGGGAAGTATTCAATGGGAATAGTTTTTTCTCTGAGTGTTAAGGGTAGAAGGAAAAATATGATGAAGAAAAGATGATGCATTGAAACCCACCTTAGCAAACTCATTGTAAAATAATAATGATGCTGTGGACTTCAGATGGCATTGTATTTTTGAAGCTATTTTGTATTTGCTCTGTATGTTTTTGTTTGTATAGTCAAGTGATGGAAACACAGTATATCAGGTATCTCGTTGTTGTTCTTTTTCTGTTTGTTTGGGGTTTTTTGGTCTTTAAGATGGGCATATACTTTTAACTACCAGCTGAAAATGAAGCATATTTTAGTATGGGCAGCAAAATTGCTGTTTAGACATGTATCTGTCAGCTTCTGGCATCTCTTGCCTTCATCCCTACTTCATATTTTGTCAGCCTTGCAGGACACAACTTAGATATAAATTTTTTACTAGCTCTTGTGTTGATAACAAAAATGTCAGTCACATCCTGTTAGCAAGAAGTTAGGTGGTCTGGGGCAGTAACTGGTTTCACAGGTATGACAGAAGGTTTTGGTCTTTTGATCATTTTGTTACTGGTAGTGAGACAAGCAAGGAAGAAGAAAGGGAGGATTTCAGCAAATTCAGCAGTCTGAGGTGGTGGAAGTAGAAGAATAGGGAATCTTTACCTTTGCAAAATGAATACATTTCTTATATATGAACTTAAACAGTACGAATGCAGTGTTCTGTCATGCCATTTCTACAAAGCCTTTTAAAATCTTTTATAGTTGCCTTTCTACTCTTTAGCAAAGCTGAAATGAAAGAGCATGGCAAGACTGCAGGAATCCCAGCTAGGAAGAATTCTGTTGCTGCACCATTCTCTGTAAACTGCTTTTTGAATCGTGCCAAGAAGTTGTAATGATAAAGTAATCTGAAAGTCATGCAGTACTTGAGGTCTTCACGCACGAGCACAAACTTTTTCTAACATGTGAAGTACAAACAGCATTTTTCCTAAAGAGATGACAGGATAAATGTAAAAGGAAGAACTACACTGAAGAAACAAAAGGTTGTTTTCAGAGAGATATGCCAGAGAAGGACAAGTCAGTGAACTACTGGGGAGAAGGGTGTGAGGAAGGACTTCTAATAATAATGTTTTGGTTTTCTGTATTTTAATTAAAAGTTTGCTGACTCCAGTTGCAAGCTCATTTTTGTTTTGTTTTTTTTAATTTATTCTCTCCCCATCACAGATCTTGCTGTCCCAGTCTACAGTATATGACCATACCTTTCCTCATTAAATAATTGATGAAGCAGGTTGTATTATAGGATGTACTTGTCTGTAGTATCGAGAGTTGGAATCAGTGACCCAGGAATTGTCTTCCCAGTCCCAGTTTTTACCACAGCATTATTTTGAGTTGTTGCTTGTAGCTTTCAAAACACTGAGTGGCCATGCAGAATATAGACGTTTTACTTAATATCTAGTGTAATCACTTCCAAATCTTATCAGCATTCTTACAAACATGGGTGTTGGCAATGCCAAAGCTGTCAGTGGGGGATGATGTGCTGCTGTTCTGTATATACTTTAATCTGTCTACTTGTCAGGACTGTTACAGTGAGCTATTGAGCCAAAAAGTAAACCAGCCATTTCCTAATAACATATTGCGCATATGTAGCTGATCCTTTAAAAATGGTTACTTGTCCCTGATGACACACTTGGATTATACTTTTATATATATATATATATATAATAAATATATATATATATTTATATACAGACATATACTTTAATCTATATTTATATGGTTTTTTTAATATATTAGTTTTTAAAAAATTAAATTGGTATTGATGAGTTTGGGTGGTGGTGTGGTTTTTTTAATCTCCTGGCTGAATGGTGATGTATTTTCATGCTGGATCAGTTGACACAAGATACAGTAAAGGTCGCTGTATAATTTAATTCCTGACACTTGTCCTCATTTCCACTTCAGTGCCAGCGTAGCACTTCCAAATTAGATGCCCAGAGTTGGTTTTTTTTTGATGCTCTTGTAGGACTTGAGGATTTTACCTCCTTCAGATGTTGCAGTATGAGTGTGAGTGCTCACCTTTGAGTTGGGCATCCCTGCTCAAAAATTTAAAGGAAAGCTCTCAGTGAAAGAAGACCTAGGAAGGAAAGGAAGGGAAAGGGAAAAGGGGAAGGGGAAGGGAAAAGGGAAAGGAGGAGGAAAGGGAAGGGAGAGGCCAAGGGCATGTAGAAGTACAGGTAGGTACAGGCAGAGAGCTTCTAAAGAAAGGGAGCAGAGACTGCCATGTTCAGGTGGGATCCCAAAACCTGTGAGTGAGAAACTCTGCATGTTTGCTGCTCAAAAGCAGTGAGAGAACTGAGACACTGTCCTTTCGACTGCAAGCTGTGTCTTTAAGAGTCTAGGGAGATCATGGCATGAAGTTCATCATCTTGTGTATGAAAGGGTATTTGTGGTGCTTTTTATTAAATAACAAAAGAAAAAAAAAAGATAGCAAGTGTTAATTTTATGAAGTGGTGGAGTAGCCAGGTTGGAGAAGGGGAGAAGAAGGAAAGAAATGGATGAGTCTTCCTATAGCAACTGTTTAGCGTCTGGTACTAATTCATCCACTGTTAATTTTGTTAGTGTTGCAGCTGTCAGATGTTTTGTGAGGACAGATTGTGAGCATAGCTACGGGGCCCTTCTGTTGGTTTTCCACTATGCTGAATATCAGGACTGCAGACTTCTGACTTATCTGGAGACTTGGTGACTAACACAACGCTGATGGATTAAGAGGACATACATTTTATTTCCTTTATTTGCTATGATTTCATAATTTTATTGGTGGACGAAAGCTTAGAAAGCAAGTAAAAGTTGCAGCATGTAAATGATGAGTCCAGAAACAAGTTACAGGTTTTAGCTGCTTCAGACCTCCACCAATTAATTAATTATAGGGGTATTATGTTGCTATATTAACATGCAGGAAAAAATACTTGCCTAACCAAGGTTTTATTGGTGGTCACAAAATATACACAGGTCTTCCCTCCCCAAGGAGCATTCATTCATTCATCCTTCCTTCTCAGGTGCAGAAGGTAGATATAACTTAAGACTGACAAAGCAGAGGTCATGTGCAGTTAGAACTATTTGACTAGTTTTGGAGGGTAACATAAACAATTCTTGGAGCATTCAGCATTTATCACTTCTGAGAGGAAATGCTAAGGGAAACTAACATAATGTTGTACAAGATTTAAAGGGTGAAGGAAACAGGGTTTTTCTCATTAATTAGGAGTATTTTTGAGCCTTTTCTTTTAAAATAATACTGCTGTAGAGAAAAAGCTCTTTTTAGAGAGTATTTCCAGCATAGTTGTTTTTCCCATTTCCCATTTTAGTTTTACCGTTTAAAGGTAATAGCAGCAAGACACGTGGCTGATGTTTCCAGCTGTGAAGAACTGAGTCCCTGACTTGCTGCATCATATTCAGGAGCTTTCTGACAACAGGAGCTTGAATCTTCTCTCTGTGCATCAGCAGTTGACAGATTGCATGTCTTTATTTCAGTTAAGAATTTTAGGAGGAACTTAACAAAGCTGGATGGATGCTGTTTATGAGTGCAAAGGAGATTCATTCCATATGTAGGTTGTGTGCATTGGCAGGAATCATCTGCACTTGTTCCTGAGTTTTGTGTTCACTTCTCCCACTCAGGAGGAAGATCTGTGCAGCATTTTGGAAAACTCAGGTGTCTGTTCTGTTTGTAGATACAATGAAGAAGAAAACCAATAATTCGGTATATTGGATGTGTATCAAGTTAACCAGAATAGAATGTTACAATATAAAACCAGTTTG